TCTTGTTTCTTGTCATTTACTTAATTTAATTCTAGTTATTTTAGTACTTTAAGCTATTTTCGTGTGTTTGTAGGTTCAAATAACAAAGTTGGCAACAAAGTGCTATTTTGAGCATTTTGGAGCATTTTTGGGCCAAGATTGGATAGTGCAAGCATGGAGACATGAGGATGGACGTTTTTGAAGATTTGAAGGCTAGAAATCAGCATGTGTGTGTGCAAGTGTGTTGCCTACAACTCCAAACATCCATCCACTACACCCATTACATCCACTCATTACCAAATATCCATCCACTACATCCATTACATCCACCATTACCAAACATCTACCCACTACACCCATTACATCCACCCATTACCAAACATCCATCCACTACACCCATTACATCCACCCATTACATCCACTCATTACCAAACATCCACCCACTACACCCATTACATCCACTCATTACCAAACACTCATCCACTACACCCATTACATCCACTCATTACCAAACAACCATCCACTACACCCATTACATCCACTCATTATCAAACATCCACCCACTACACCCATTACATCCACTCATTTCCAAACATCCATCCACTACACCCATTACATCCACTCATTACCAAACATCCATCCACTACACCCATTACATCCACTCATTACCAACATCCATCCACTACACCCATTACATCCACTCATTACCAAACATCCATCCACTACACCCATTACATCCACTCATTACCAAACATCCATCCACTACACCATTACATCCACTCATTACCAACACTCATCCACTACACCCATTACATCAACTCATTACCAAACATCCATCCACTACACCCATTACATTCACTTATTACCAAACATCCATCCACTACACCCATTACTTCCACTCATTACCACAACATACACCACTACCATCTTAATTAGATGGTGGTCCTCTCCCTAGCCTATAAATACATCCACCCTTCACCATAACAAGGAGAAGAAAAAGATCCATCAAAAGACACTACATTCACATCTCACAACTCCATACACTTACACTTTCATTCCTTGGCCGAGATAGGACAATCCACCCATCCACCCTTCACCATAACTCACCTATATTCATCCACCACCATAATTTACCACTCATCCATCAAACCACACTTTGTGCCGCAACAAAGAGAAGAATGAGGACCCTTGGACGTGCTTGCCATTCAAGTTGGATTGTTGGAGCGTTTTTAGGTGTTTTCATTCTTTTGTTTTCAATGTCTAAATTTGTTTATTTTTGCTTTGTGAGTATGAGGAAATAAACCCCCCTTAGCTAGGGGGAATTCGAAACCATGTTCATGCTTGCAATATGATTTGATTACCTTCAGTTGTGATTTCATAAGTTGTGAATTCAATTTGTTTAACTGCTTGATTGATAACTTATTCGTGTATGTTTATTAAGAGTGCACACTTAGTTTGCATGCATGAATATGATGCTAGAGTATAAGGGAGTTTCACCTAATAGTTACAAACTTATATTCACAAGTAGTGGATGTCGCTTATAAACGATCGCGTTAAATAAATTCTTGGCAGGAGTTTCATGCTCATCATAGTAACGAATGCCTCGTCAATACTTATAGTTTTCATAATGCTTAATGATCTTTGATTGTATCTTTATTGTGCTGTTCACGTAAAGAACTTTTGAAGAATGCTTGAATTGTTGTATGCACTTTCCCATCCAATTCAATAACTTAAGGAAAACTTGAAGGTTAATTTAAGCGGACTTAATTAACATGGGGTGTTGAGTTTCATGATTGATCGAAAGAACAACTGAAAATTGGTTTATGTGCAAGTATGTCATGTGTGGAGAAGAACCTCCTAGCTAGCCTTCCATCCATTCAATTTACTCAAATTCGTGCAGATTTCATTAGTTCTTTAATTTATTTGTTTTGTTTTCAAATTCGTCAAAACCAAAACCCTCTTTACTTTAAAGTGTTTTATTAGTCAAAATCTGTTTTGATTTGTGTTTTTAGGTGTCCCAAAATTGTGTTAGAGTCCAAATCTGCCCAGTTTGTGTTTTTAGGCAGATTTGAGCGTTTTTAGCTTGTTTTGAGTCCTTTGAGTTTGTTTTAAGTTCTTTGAGTCTAGTTTAGTGTTTTTAACTTTGTTTATATGTTTTTAAGTCAGTTTAGAGGTTTTAGCAAGCCCTCATAATCCCCGGTTTAGAACGATCCCTACTTGCATTTATACTACAATTTGACAACAAGAGGGTTTAATTTGTGTGTTAAGTTAATTTTCGCATCATCACCCATCTTGGGATTGCTCTCGCGCGAACTCACTTAACTTCAGAGTTCCGATGGAACCCGAAGCCAATGAGCTCCCAAAAGACCTCGTGCTAGGTAGAGATGAGAATATACATATAAGGCTTACATGATCCACTCCCTTGGGTGATGTGGGATGTTACAATCCACCCCCCTTAGGGGCCTGACGTCCTCATCGGCATACTTCATGCCAGGGATTGGTTCTGATACCAAATTTTCACATTATGGCCCGAACCCCCACCACATCCCGGGCTCGACTCCACCATAGCACGATATTGTCCGCTTTGAGCCCTGACCACGCCCTCACGGTTTTGTTTCTGGGAACTCACACGAAAATTTCTCAGTGGGTCACCCATCCTGGGATTGCTCTCGCGCAAACTTGCTTAATTTCGGTGTTCCGATGGAACTCGAAGCCAATGAGCTTCTAAAATACCTTGTTCTATGTAGATATGAGAATATACATATAAGGCTTACATGATCCACTCCCTTAGGCGATGTGGGATGTTGCACAATGTGTATTCAATTAGAATTTAAGATAATTTATTAAAATATTTAAAAATGCGGGTCTATTCAATAAAAACTTTAAATAACTTTATAACACTCCACGTGTATTCAATTAATAATTTATTTGAAAGAATTTAAAAAGTTGAGGAATTTGAGAAAATTTGAGAGATTTCATATCATTCACATTCACAAATCTCAACTCCCTTCTGAGATTTCGAGGGAATTGAATCAAAATTTCACATAGAATCTCTACTAATAAATTAAATTCTATCAAAATCCATAGATTTTATAAATCCATTAAAATCTTTCAAAATCTCAATTGAATACACACCCCTAATGATGGACAAGTTGTTTGTCAACTTTACTAAATTAAGAACATTTTAAATGGGTATTCAATTGGGGTTTTGAGAGATTTTAACTCTTTTTACAAATTCAAGGGTATTCAATCAGAATTTTAGTGATTATTTGAAAGTCTAGGTGTATTCAATCATGATTTTAAATGAGTTTTTAACATCCTAGGTCGATTTAATTAGAAACTAATTTTTTAAAATTTTTAAAAATTGGGGAATTCGACAGAATTTAAGAGATTTCGTAATATATTTTAAGCATTCTCAAATTTGATATCTCTCTCCTGGGAATTTGAGGAATCAAAATCTATATATTTATAAATCTATTAAAATCTCTCAAAATTTTAATTCAATATATGCCCCTAAAGTAGTAATATTATTTGTAAGAAAAAAAAATATTTGAACTCATAACTTTTATCTCTATACCCAACATAGTATTTACACCCATATTTAAATTGACTTATTTATCAATATCTTTCTACACCCGTGGTGGGTTCCTAAACCACCGACGCTTGAATTTCCTCGTCTAAACGAGTCACTCCCAAAAGTAAAAAAGAAAAATAAAATGATAACTTGGGATAAACAACTGAAACCCTGCCCACCCCATGACGTATTTTGATCAAGTTTAGGTGCTAGTTGGGCGATGGATTAAGACCTAAAGTTTAGGTGGTTAGATAGGATCTAGGCAAATTAAGCCGATTTAAGTATCATATAAATTAGAGCTTATTTATATTTAAAAAACACATAATTATTTTGGGAGACATAAATTACAAAATAAAATTACATATAAATTATAAAGTATTAAAACATATTGAAAACATAGAAAACAAGCATATAATGAGTGTTCACACTCGAGTACTCAACAAGTTTCTTACATTTTATTGAAAAAATAAATGCAAAATGAAATTTATTTATTTTTTGTAACAGTGTGAGCCGCGACTTAAACGGGTTCCTAGGCGGGTCTAGGATGCATCCTTTCTTATTTTTAAACACCTAAAGATTAATTGGGACGGTTGCCAGACGGGGGATTCTTAGTATTTATCAAATATAGCAAAAATTTAACCTTTAATTTCAAAAATGTCACTTTTTATAAAATCTTTCAAATATATCTAAAATTCCACCTAAATAGATACAAATACCCTCAAATTTAACAATCACATAAATTAAAGGCCTTTTAGCCAAACTGATTCATGACATTTACATAACTCCTTAATCTGGTCCTTAACAATTAATGATAATCAATAGTAGTGTTCTTGAATTTGTCTATCGTGAATCATTTTAGTCTTTCTTTAAATTTGTCCATCGTGATTATTTTAGTTATTTCATGAAAAATCTGTCAATTGCTCTGTTAATGTAATGATATGGCACCACGTGGGTCTCACAAATACAATCATATAACGACATGTGGATTAACTGAAAAACTGTTTTGATATTTAAAACTAAAAATGATATTAGGAAGAAAAAAGGCGTTGAAGGCATGATTGAAATTCTACTGCTCCCACTTGCAGTAACCGCGACTATGCTCAATGTTGGTGGTGAAGGGGGAAAGGGTTGTGGTGGTGGAGTGTAGCAGTGAAGGTGAAGTTGGATTAGAGCTTGAGGCGACAATAGCTAAAAGGCCTTTAATTTATTTAATGGAACTTTAACAAAAAGCTTCCGGTACTGTTAATTTTAATGAAAAACCACATTTTTATATTAAAAAGTCAATTCTAGTACTATTCACTTTACCTTTTATTTTGTTATTTTCATTAAAACTCAAAGTTTTCAAGTCATTTTAATTAATTTTCCTTTTATTTAATTGTTAAATTTGAGGGTATTTGTGTCTATTTAAATAAATTTTGGATATATTTAAAAGTTTTTATAAAAAATGACATTTTTGAAATTAAGAGTAAATTTTGGCTACATTCGATGAATTATTTATAGAACAGTGATTGTGATTTGTGAAAAAGACAGACAGTTAAATTCTGTTGGCCATGAAGTTCCGGCACGCCATGGTGTGTTCGTTGAACCAGAACCGGAGCATGGAGGCTCACTCACTCCTCAAGCGACAAGGCTTCTACGTCGCTTCGTACGGCACCAGAGCCCATGTCAAGCTCCTTGGTCCCTCCCTCAGAGGACCCAACATCTACGACTTTGGCACTCCTTACAAGCAGATGTTCGACGATCTCCGGCGAAAAGACCCCGAACTGTATCCTCCTCTAAACTTGTTCTTCTTTCGATTTTATTCAATTGGGTTTTATGGAATTCTGGGTTTGGGGACTTTGATATTTTAGTGATGAAATAAATTCCTATAAATATTGTAGGAGCAAATTGGTTAACAGAATAGAAAAAGAAGAACTTTGAGACTCTGTGTTGAAATGTGCAACTGGGATTGTAGGCTCAAAGCTTCAACCTTTGGAAATTAAGTGGGCAGTCTGATAGATTTTGTGTGATGAACTTACCCTTGTGGCGTTTATGCGTAAATTCGATATTTGTGGATTCTACGTGTTTATCGAGTAGTTTAGTTGATGACAACTATTGATTGGTAGGTCTGAGTAGCAATGCTCGAGTTTTGTAGGGTGTATGAATTGAAATTTATGCGCGTACTTCGCATTCTGAACTGTGTTTTCTATTTAACCAAAGTGAAACCTTGACGACAATTACAGGTACAAGCGTAATGGTATCTTGCCTATGCTTAAAAGAAACTCGGGAGTCAAACTGGCACCTCAGCGGTGGCAGGACAATGCTGCCGACAGTTCCTTTGATGTGGTGGTAACATTCGAAGAAAAGTTTTTGACATGGCTGTTGAAGGTTGGTTCTAACTCCCATCTCCAAGTTTTGGTTGGTATCTTTTGGATTTCAATAATTAATAGTCACAGTAATTCAAAAATCAATTGATTAAATGCTCTTCTTTGTGTTGGTAATTTTGTTTCTTGGCATTCTCTTTCTATCGAGACGTTGGAATATGAATTGCTGGTAGAGTTGTTTTTAGTTACCTTCATAATATCAGTCTACATGTTATTAGTCTAGCGATGTAGATGAGCTGATCAATTGCCAAGTTAACCTTGAGCTCTTAAGTCATACGCATACGATTCCGCTCAGCTTAACGTAATCACTGGAGATGGTAACGAAAGCAGGGCAATGATTGATATTTTGAAATGGATTATTTTCCAAGGGGGAATTGTAAGAAAGTAAGAAACTTGGAGTCTATAGGTTCCCAGGATTATTGGAAGTTATCATACAACAGAGTTGCTGGTTTTAGAATCTTATGCTTAAATGAATCTCAAGGAAACGTAAATTTTAAACCTGGATAGAGTTTTTGATAAAAATCTTATCGGACGGTTGAAATTATCTGTTTCTTTAATTTAACTGTTAACGGTTCTTTAATTTAAATTGATCAAAGCTGTTGTTTTAGGAGTTGCTTTTATGTTAGTTAGAAATGAATCATATGGAACTTTGAACTTGTGTCCCTAAATCTAATGGAAGCTTCAAGAGTTGTGGTACCGTTTGCTTTTGTGTTATCTTTTAGTTTATGAAGTTAATCTGTAACTCGAGGATGCTATCCTTGTTTGCTTGTCTGACCCGTGTGCAACACAATGTATAGATCTCAACAACCGGGACCATGTTCTTAGGAAGTGTGTACTGATAATCAACTTGGAGGTAAAAGATAACCACGAGGAGGCGGCTGTAGGAGCTCGTCTTGCTTTCGATCTTTGCCAGGAGGTCTGTATTTATGGTTGCATCGACTCCCAATAATCTGTAATGCAAAATAGTAATGCTGAAGGGTACATTGTCGTTGAATTTTTCCAGATTGAAGCAGCTGAATCGTGGGAGGAAGCAATTGATGACATTGTGTCCGGTTTTGAGAAGCAGCAACGGCAGAAGTTAATGTATAGCATCTCATTTTATTGAAACTGCACTAAAAGTATGTTAGGGAGATTTCCATCAACGAAGTCCAATTGTTGGTGATAACTTGGATTGATCGTATTCTGGGCCGGAGCCATGAACCTGTGACGAGGCCATGAACCTGTGACGATCTCTCCAAACAAGCGCAGGCGTATCGACATGATGAGAGGACCAAGGCTAGATGATCGTGTCATTCTTTCTTACGTGATTAACCACCAACTGTTCTCCCTTACATTAGCGTCGATAAGAAGGTAGTTATACTAATATGGAGTACAATGATTGAGAAAAAAGAAAATGAAAGACTCGTGCTATTGTGAGAAGTACCGTACGGCTACTAGTGACGTGTCGACCAACTAAAAGAGTAGTAACTCAATGTATAAACTTAGTGTTCGTTTGAATGTGCTTTTAAAATGACTGAAAACGCTTTTACAGAAAATGTTTTTGAGTTCCAAAAGCATTCGAAGTGTTTTCGGCAAGAAACACCAGTTACGTACTTCTTTCATAAAGTATTTTTAAGTGTTTTTTTCAAAATTTACTGTACTCTCTAGGTCTCTACGCTACCTCGCCGTCTCGTGCCAAGTTTTTCCTGGTGTCAGCTGTCGAGGGATATTATCTGTCAAATTATCTCTCTCTTCAAAAAATGATATTTTATTTGTAAACAACCAAAAACACCAATTTGAAATCTGAAAAATTGTCGTCGTTATCGTTGACATCTCTCTACTCTTCTGTTAGTAACGGAAACGGAATCCCTCCATCCTCCACCGCCCTCCCTCTACCAACTTCCCCCCAACTGCTCTGCACAGCAAAGCAATCACCTTTCGTTTCATTCTCCCGAGCTTTTTTTCTCGGGAACCAAGCACCCCATGGCTTCCGAACCGGAGGACGAGAAGAGCTGGGAGGGCCTCCTCAGAAAGATGCTGCCTGCCGGCGCACCATTGCCCGACGAAGAGCACCTCGATTACTCCATCGCCATCGAGTACGAAGGTCCCCCGCTGCCCTACGACCTCCCTGAGGTTGATCCCGTTAACATCGACTCTCTCAATCTTCACTCTTCTTCCGTGGCCGCCGGTTCGGTTGAAGCCCCGTCTTCGATTCCGGTGGCTTCCCCGGTTGGTCAGAAGGTCTCGCGGTTCAATCGGGCGAGGAACGGCGGCGTTGTGAAGGAGACAAGTAGAACGGTGTCGTTTCCGACTCCGAGGACGCAACCGGAGCTGCGGAACAGCAGGGAAGGATCGGAATTTGAAGGAGCGGAGGAAGGTTTCATCTCTGAGTTGCCGGTTCAAGACTCGAACTTGGAGCAAAAACCGATCGGCGGCGCCACCGGAGGAAAGAGGGCGGCTGTCGTGACTTTCAATGAACCAAGAGATTTGGAGAACGAGGACGACCCCGAAAACGATAACGACGGCGGTAGGTCGTCGTCGCCGCAATCGAGCGCCGCCACCGAACAGGTGGGGTCGCCGGTTGCATGGGCCTCTTCGCCCGGGAGGCGATCGAGTAAGAGAGGAATTTGCAGCAGGTGCGGGAAAGGGAACAGATTGAAGGAGAGAGAATGGTGTTTGGTGTGCGACGCCAAGTACTGCAGTAATTGCCTTCTGAAGGCGATGGGGTCGATGCCGGAGGGGAGGAAATGTGTGAGCTGCATTGGGCAGCCGATAGACGAGTCGAAAAGGTCGAGCTTGGGCAAGTGTTCGAGGATTCTGTCGAGGGTTTGCAGCCCTTTGGAGATTGGGCAGATAATGAGGGCCGAGAAGGAGTGCCCCGCCAATCAGCTCCGGCCGGAGCAGTTGGTTGTGAATGGGAGGCAGCTGAGGGAAGAAGAACTGGCTGAGATTTTGGGATGTGAATTGCCTCCTCAGAAGTTGAAGCCGGGGAGGTATTGGTACGATAAGGATTCTGGTCTTTGGGGAAAGGTGAGGTTTTTTTTGCTAATGGATGAGCATTTTGCAGTAGGGTTTTGTGTGTTTTGTATGTTTATAGTTCTGTGTGTTTGATTTCAGGAAGGTGAGAAGCCGGGTAGGATCATTAGCTCGAAACTCAATGTTGGGGGTAAGCTTAGGTCCGATGCTAGCAATGGGAACACCAAAGTGTTCATGAATGGTCGAGAGATCACAAAGATTGAGCGTAGGATGTTGAAGGTATGCTAATGATTACCTAAAATTCCATAATGAATGTGTCTGTCTGTAGTACACCTTTGTATTCAATACAAGCAAATGCGAAGCTAATTTGGAAATCTAAAACCAAAAACTCTAGTATGAAATAGTGAATCCGTCAACCCGACGGTTAGGATGTGTTTGTATTGAAAGTGAATTCGTACTACAGGATTTTCCCATAATAAATAAGTCTGTAAGATGATCATGTGTTTAGTCGAAAGTCTTCTCACGAAAGTTAACAATAAGATGACGATTCTTGGAATTTTGTGGCGACTACACAAATCATTTGATTACAATACGACAAAGCTTATGATTTTCTATTTCAGCTGGCCAACGTGCAGTGCCCTCCGGATACTCATTTCTGGGTGTATGATGACGGCTCTTATGAGGAGGAAGGTCAAAATAACATTAAAGGGAATATATGGGGAAAGGTTCTTTCGTTACCTTGAATGTTGGTTATTTGTTGTTTGGTGCACGTTTGAAATTGTGTGTGACAGATGATTTTGAGTTGAATTTTTATACAGTTGCAGTTTGGTTTTTGGTAGGCAGGCATCCACTCGTTTCATTTGTTCATTATTCTCATTGCCCGTACCATCTGGTAATCAAAGTGGGGCAAAAGAAGATCCTACGACACCTTCAAGCAGGTCAGTCCCCGAATACTTGGAACAGGGAAGAGTTCAGAAACTTCTGTTATTTGGCTTGGAGGGATCTGGAACTAGCACAATCTTCAAGCAGGTATTAGTCTTTTATTTTCGAGTCCCCTCCTCTTCGGGGTGTCTGCATGGCACATTTCTTTTTGAGATTATGTGTTTTGTAGTTTCTGCTCCAGTCAACCTAGACTTTGGAATAGACTTGCTCTTCATGGTTGCTTGTTGGTTTACAGTTGTCCAACTATCAAGTATTTAAAACTTTCTTCACTAAATGCAAAGATGTTAATAGTTGCGTTTGCCTTCTATTCTTCTTGACTCGTGATATATTTCATCAATTGACATTAAAATGTGTTTCCTTTACCGTGATAATGAACTTACCTTATCTTCCCATATTGTCATTACATAGTTTGCAATCTTTCCTTGAAACCATTGGCTGTTTTTGACTGAACAACCTTAACTAGGAATTTAGAATGTATGGTAAAACCATAGAAGTAGCCAAGATGCTGCATGTTTGAATGCATTGAGATTATTATTAGAATCTGGGGAAGTCCAATTAACTGAATCGTTGATATTTGCAAGTATGGTAAGCTTGGGCATTCACCTTGGAGAGCATTAATTTGTACATCTAACATAGATGTGCTGACGTATAGCTTCGTCGGTCATTGGTTTTGTGTGAACGGTTTAGATTCAAAACCAAGGGAGAACAAGGATATTAAAAAAGGACTGGAGTCCATTTAATGTACTAACTTACCTTTTGTGGATAATCAAACTGCATGATACCTTGAAGACCGGTTAGCGAAAAGCCCCTAGGGCTCAGTGCTTTTGTTTTTGTTGTATATTATTTCATTCACTTTTTTTTGGTATCAGAAGCTTTATTTCTTGGATAGTATAACATCTTAAAAATGCTTATGTTATCCTTCTTTTTCCCATGGAACAGGCTAAGTTATTATATGGGAACAAGTTCACTTCCGAAGAGCTACAAAACATCAGACTCATGATTCAAAGCAATATGTATAAGTATCTAAGTATATTACTTGAGGGCCGAGAACGTTTTGAAGAGGAGGCATTGACAGAGAATAGGATATCTTTGTCAGCTGCTCATGATTCCCCTTCAGGTCTCTATTAATGAACATGGATTTTCTCCTTTTTCTGATTACAAAATTGATAAAGTAGAAGTTTAGCTAGGTGACTGCATGCTATCTTCATGTCCATCTTTTGCTACAAAACTCTAGATCCATGATTCTTGTAGTTGTTTGTAACAAAGTTACATTGCAATATCTACTGACATTTTTGGATACTTGAGATTACTGGATGGATGGTGGTCATGTCAATAGGAATTGTCTGCTTTTATTGATAGAAGGGTCAACCTTTCTCTTAGTCTGTTGATTTGCTGGTGCTGCTGGTCAACTTTGTCTGTCCGAAAGGATATAATACTGCCCTTTTTGTAGTTTTTTTTTACCCAAGGGAATGGAGTAAGTGTTATTGGTTTCATCTTATGTCTAACATAACTTAAACTCATAATTGTCCCGTTGTCATTAATATTGAAAAAATATGTTCTACTGGTTGAAGAGGAAAATGTTTACATCTTGAGAGAGAGATTATTTTGCTTATTTGGTTCTCTGCTTCTAGGCATGAATGAACCTTAGTCAGTGGTTGACTGCGAAATGAATTTGTGTGAAACAGTAGTTGATGAAAGTGAGCAATGCATCTATGCAATCAACCAAAGGTTCAAGCACTTTTCTGACTGGTTACTGGATATCATGGCAACCGGAGACTTGGATGCATTCTTTCCTGCTGCCACACGTGAGTATGCTCCTATTGTGTATGAAGTGTGGAGAGATCCTGCCATCCAGGAAACATACAAAAGGAGGGAGGAATTACACTGTTTTCCTGAAGTTGCCAAATATTTCTTAGATAGGGTTAGTCATTACTCGTTTTGGCCTTTACATCTTTCAGCTCCAAATTGCATGTCTGTCAACACTTTATTTGGATGATCAAATTTGTTAATCACAGAATTGGTAGTATTCCTCTAATGGTATTTTCATATTTAGTTGATTATCTTTCACATTTACTTTGAATTAATATTAGGTATGTTTGGAATAAATGTGGTTTAATTGGTTGATATATACATGGTGACATTTCAAGCAGGCTTGGATTGCATTTGTCGCTAGCTAAACTGAATTTCCGATCTTCATGTTTTATTCTTATGTACGTTCGTTGTTTCATTTCTAACAGGCTATAGAAATATCAAGTAACGAGTATGAGCCTTCTGAGAAGGACATTTTATATGCTGAGGGTGTTACTCAGAGCAATGGACTTGCCTCTATGGAATTTTCATTTGATGACAGAAGTGCCATGTCTGAGCTATACAATGAAACTTATGAATACCCCCCTTGCCTTGACTAAGTAAAATCTTCATCCTTTCATACTCAATCGAGCTTCCTATCTTCTGCTCTTACTTTTTCTTTTGCTCACTGGGTTTCCTTGTCACAGGTATCAACTAATTCGCATCAATTCCAAGGGACTGAGTGAAGGTTTCAAATGGCTCGAAATGTTTGAAGACATGAGGGCAGTGATATTTTGTGTTGCGTTGAGTGATGATCAAATGTGGGCCGACGGCAATGGTCTTCTTCATAATAAAATGCTGGCAAGCAGAGATTTGTTTGAGAGTTTGGTACGGCACCCTTGTTTCAGAGACACCGCATTTGTGCTCTTTCTTAACAAATATGATGCCTTTGAAGGCAAGATAAACCAGGTTCCATTGTCTGCCTGCGAGTGGCTAAGGGACTTCAGTCCTGTTAAGCCCCATGGTAATAATCAGTCTATGGCACAGCAAGCATATTATTATGTGGCGGTGAAATTCAAAGAGCTCTATTCATCCATAACTGGCGAAAAGTTGTTTGTGGCACAGACCCGAGCTTGGGAGGGTGCCTCAGTTGACGAGGCATTCAAGTACGTGAGGGAGGTCCTTAAGTGGGATGAAGAAAAGAATGACAATTTCTTTGCAATAAACGGGGACGACTCATTTTACAGCACAGAGATGAGTTCTCCTCCTGTCAGGCAGGAATAGACCAGGCTACTACTTGGCTCTGCAAGTGAGTACCATTCGAAGTGAAAGATTGAAGGCGTGAAATTGTCGCTGCGGAAACACTGAAACAGCTCCAACGGACAAGCGGGGTTCCTTGCTGCCATTTGATTAACTGATGGAAGAACGATTAACGAAGACAGTCGGCTGCATTTCTTTGTTTCTTAGTTCTTTTCCTTCTTCTTTCTCAGGCCGGACTTGTTTTCGACGTTAGGCCGGATTTGTTTTCAACTTAGGTCGGACTTGTTTTCGTCTTAGGCCGGATTTGGTTTCAAGGTTGCTTGACAATCTTGCTGGTTAGGTACAGGACTGAAAATTGATTTGTAACATAAGCTCATTTTCAAAGGAGTGGTTTTCTTTTCTGTACAGCATTTCAAAAGTGAATAAAAAGCAACTTTCTTATGGTTTTTACATTTTTTTTTGGTTAAAATGTCCATTTGCTTCATTCGAATTAACCAGGTTTAATTATTTATTTCTATTTTATGGGGAATGTATAACATACACACGTGACATCACTTTTTACACAATTTTCGACACATTTTTTTGTAGATCCACTTCGTAATGAATTTTAGCTATTCGTACCGTTTATCTTTTAAGTTTTCTTTCAAAGATTATGTTTACCAAAGGTTACCCAAGTCTAAAATCATATGACTGTTACATTAAGAGTTTAGGGTTTCTTTGTAGAATCGTATTCGTCCATTTTTTCACTAGAAATGAATATTTTAGGATTTGTCTAATTTTTTGTAAGAATGATTTATGAATTAGACGGTTCAGGTCATTAAAATACATTAAAAAGTTTTAAAACAGGCCCATCCTGAAATTACACTATTATATAGCTATTGGCTGCCTATTTTAATCATAAACAGCTGGTGGCCTATGATTTAGTAGAGTTCCATGTTTCCTAGGAGTAACGAGTTCGAAACTTGTTTGAACCAAACCTTTTTTTGTTGTTGTTGTTTTTTTTTTTTTTTTTTTTTTTCAATCGAGCCCTCTGTTTTACCAAATTTTGTTCGGACCTAATGTGTGAATCATTTTTTTTTTTTTTTTATCAAAACTCGTAAAAAATGTCTGTTTATGATATAATTTTCTCAAGACTAAATTTTTCATACAATTTTAAAGCTCCATCACATTTGTTTGATTAAAATTTTCCATACCACTAAAAAGATGCCACATCATGGTCCGGGCCCCATCATATTCCGGGCTAGACTCCACCGTAGCAAGATATTATCCGTTTTGGGCCCCGATCACGTCATCACGTTTTTGTTTCTGGGAACTTATACGAGAATTTTCAAGTGGGTCACCAATTCTGAGAATACTCTCGCCCGAACTCGCTTAATTTTGGAGTTCCGATGGAACCCGAAGCCAATGAGCTCCCAAAATGCATCGTGCTAGGTAGAGATGAGAATATACATATAAGGCTTACAGGATCCACTCCCCTGGGTGATGTGGGATGTCACAATCCACCCCCTTTAAGGACCCGACGTCCTCATTGGCACACATCATGGGAATGCGCTCGCCTGAACTCGCTTAATTTCGGAGTTTCGATGGAACCCGAAGCCCATGAGCTCCCAAAAGGCCTTGTGCTAGGTAGAGATGAGAATATACATATACGGTTTACAGGATCCACTCACTGAGCAGTGTGGGATGTCACAAAAGAACCTTTAATTTTTCTCCAATTAATTGTATTGCTATATTTTGTAATTTCTCATATAACTTAAAGGCGATTGATTCTTAACTCCTCCATATCTACCTTATATATATTTGCCTGTCAAATGATGCAATGGGAGTTTGAAATTGAATGGCCTATGACTCCTTCAAAGTCAAAAACTTCTGTGAAGAAGGCAGCTAAAACCTTAGACTGATACGAGGAACCTAGCTAGCTCGGACTCGTTCTTACATGGTTGAAGACTTGAAGACTTTGTGTTCCTGTACATCCGACTACAAACAAAAAAAAGACCAATATATATAACATAGAAGAAAAAAGACCAATATATATAACATAGAGGAAGACTCGGAGCAAATGAATAAACTAATGACCAATAATTCTTGTTGTACCACATCTATTCCCATAATTATTATTTTCGTTCAAATGAGAGAAACTAACAACATAATATGTTATTTTGTTAGCATCTTCCTTTAATGAAAGTCGTGTTGGGTGAAAAATTTCAGTAGAAAAAGTCTTGTCAGGAGACAAATTTCTATATGGTAACTTGACCAACTATTCTCTCACAAAAGATAAGATTGCGTGCATTGAGAATTGTATTTAATATAGATGGATCGTTCCCTTGTGTGTTAATCATTCATATAGTAAGACTCTTTTGATCAACTTATTTGAGAAGTGATCAAGAAGATACTAATTAATAAATGTCATGTTCGTTATTTAAAAAAAAAAGGGCAGGATAATTACACTAAATTCATTTAAACTGTAAAGAAAAAATAAAAACTCGGCTAAGTTCAGATTCGAACTTAGACTAAATTTAAGTATATTGTTAGCTATTCCTCTCTGTTGTTATCTATTAATTTTACCAATTCCTCCTAAAAAAACGACATGATAATTATACTAAATTCATTTTAACTGTAAAAAAAACTAAAATTTGGCTAAAACTCAGATTCGAACTTGACCAAATTCAAGTAAATTGTTTTTTTTTAGGAAAACTAATGAAAAATGCTTGAAAATTTTGAATCTTAACAATAAGGACAAAATTAAGAGTAAAATAAATAGTACCATGATTGACTTTTTAGTGTAAAAATATGGTTTTTCGTTAAAGTGAATAGTATCGGAAGCTTTTCATTAAAGTTCCTTTTTTTTTTAGTACATCAATATTTTTACACTAAGGAGAGGGAGAGTTCGGCTAAGCCATACAGCGGGCAGCCTAATTTGATATTGAATTCGCCGTCTACGAGATTCGAACCTAAGACCTTTAAATTCTAAATGAAGAAAAATACCACCAAACTGTAATCCAGAGTGACTTACTGTTAGCTATTCCTCTTTGTTGTTATCTATTAATTTTACCTCTTCTCCTTTGACGATTTAAGATTTAAAATTCTTTGAAAGCTTCAACGGTCAACATTCAAATCCTACCCCCACATCTGGAATTTCCTTTCTTTGTTGTTATCTAATGCTATTACCAAAAAGAGAGAAAAAGAAAACCTATTCCTCCCCTCACATCTGGAATTTCCTTTCTTTGATTCCCACTTCTCATACTTTGAACGCCGCGTGGGAAAGCCTCGAACTTGTAGTTTGGACAACAAATTTTTAGTATATAAACTTGTAGTTCCACAACCAAAAAATCAAACACCAACAAAAACAAAAGAAACAACTTCTCTACTTTTCTCCTGCTTTTTCGTTCGTGATCTCTTTAACCTATAACTTCTGTTGTGTCAGTGTACTAGCTTGTACCAATGGGTTTAGGCTGGATAAGGAGGAGAACCGGCCACCGCGCCGCGAAAAACCAGCCAGGGGACCTCGACATGGAAGCCCTGATCCCGGACCATTTTCTCTGCCCGATATCGCTTGATTTGATGAAGGATCCGGTCACATTGTCATCCGGAATAACCTACGATAGACAGAGCATCGACACCTGGCTCGAAGGCGGGAACTTTACTTGCCCTGTGACAAATCAGGTGTTGAGAAGCTTTGATCAGATTCCCAACCATAGTCTCAGAAAAATGATTCAAGAATGGTGCACCGAAAACAAGCGCTACGGAATTGAACGTGTTCCAACGCCGCGAGTTCCTGTTATGCCGAACGAGGTCTCCGAGATTCTTTTCAGTTTAGCGGGCTCAGCTCGAAATTTGGATCACCAAGGGTGCTTCGAATGTGTGCGCAGAATCAAGAATTGGGCCGCTGAGAGTGAGCGAAACAAGCGGTGCATATTGGAGAACGGGGCTGCATCTGTACTCTCTGCCGCCTTTGATTCTTTTGCAGGCGATTGCGGAAAGAAAAATGCAATTGTGTGCGAAGAATTACTCTCTGCGTTGAGTTGGATGCTTCCGGCTTTCGATGAAGAATCACACAAATACTTGGGATCGAAGGCATCGTTGCATTGCATGGTTTGGTTTCTCAAGGAAACCGATGATCTTTCGGTCAAGCAAAACTCCCTTCTAGCATTGAAACAGCTTCTTTCTTGCGATGATCACACTAAACATGCTGAAGCGTTGGCGGAGATTGGTGGGGTGAATGACATTCTTTTCAAGCTCATCAGAGAGAAAATTTCGCCCGCGATTACCAAGGCTTCTCTGATGGTAGTTTTCTACTTGATTTCATCATCTTCTTCCGCCGGTGAGAAGATCAAGTTATCATTTTTGGAGATGGGATTGGTTTCTGTGTTGCTGGAAATGCTTGTGGACTCGGAAAGGGGCGTAAGCGAGAGGGCATTGGCGGTTATCGACAGTCTTTGTGATTGCGATGAAGGGAGGGAAAAGGCGTACGCTGATGCGCTAACTATACCAGTTTTAGTGAAGAAAATTTTGAGGATATCTGAAATGGCGACTGAGCATTCGATTTCAGCGATTTGGAAGCTGTGTAAATGTGCAAGCAGGCAAGAAGAAAGAGTGCTGGTTGAGGCCCTTCAAGTCGGTACATTTCAGAAGCTCTTGTTGGTTTTACAGGTTCGTTGCGGGGACGATCACACGAAGGAGAAGACGAACGAGCTTCTGAAGCTCTTGAATCCTTACAGAGCTGGATTGGAATGCATTGAGTCTGTAGATTTCAAGAGTATTAGAAGGTCGTTTTGATGATCTTTTTCAGGAGAAAACATACATATTCTTTGTGTTAATTAATTCTTAATTTTGGTTTCATCAAATGATGAGCTCTTGAAATGGTAAACATTAATTAATTTGTTTTCCAGTTTGTTGATGCAATTCTGCAAGTTGAATTGGGAAGTAAAGGAGAGTTTCAATCTATTATTTTTACATGTTACAGTATTAAATCAATGATTATTTGGAACTCGTTTGAGACTTTCTATAACACTTTGCTCATTAGCGCTTTTGGGAGAAGTACTTTTATAATAAACACGTAGAGCTTGTTTGAGAGTGTTTTTAAAATGATTTAAAACATTTTTGTTAACAATATTTTTGGAATCAATTCTTAGTAAAATGTCCAGTGAATCCTGGAAAAATACTTGGTTTGGTATTGCTGTGCTTTGAAAAAAAGTTGCTGTGAGAATAAGCGGCTGTGCTGTGAGAATAAGCGGCTGTGAAATAAATCAGCAGAGCGTTTGGTAAACTTTTTTGTAAAAGTGCTTTTGGAAAGAAAAGCAGTCTGATAGTGGGTCTTTTCATTAAAGGAGCACTGTAGCTCCGTGTGCTTTGAAAAAAAGCCAGTTTTCCAAAGCTGCAAATAGCAGCTTCAGCTTTTTCCTTTGATTTCAGCTTATTCTCACAGCAGCTTCCAAAATAAGCCCTTTTTTTT